AGAATACAATGAAAACAGCCATGAATACCTTATTTTAAAAAAAGTTTTGAAAATGCTCACTTAACTAAAACTTGAAAGCTATAAATAATTATCTACACTCATGACAATTTTGTTGATGAACAACAAAACAGAGAAAACATATTTGTGCAGAAACTGTATATAACTCTTAAGTTTTACTCCTAACATAATTATGTTTGGGGAAGTATTCTATTCTATACTTGCCAATGTGGAGAACAAAATACTTCTTAAGAATGAAGAAATATATATATATACATATACATATACATATACAAACATATATATATATATATGTGTATATATATATTCTGTATTTTATGTGCAGAATTATCTTCCATAAGGTTTGTGTGTGTATGTGTGTATTCACAAGGTGATATGTGTATTGCAAAACAGTAACAGTGAAGGTTGTTAAAATTTTTTTGTTTTAAATATTTATAAAGTTATTATTCCAGAGAATATAGTGATAACTTATAAATTTTTTAAGTTTGTTTATTTTGAGACAGACAGAGACAGCATGAGTGAGGGAAGAGCATAACAAAGGGAGAGAGAGAATCCCAAGCAGGCTCTGTGCTGCCAGAGCAGAGCCCGACATGGGGCCTGAACTCACAAAACCATGAGATCATGACCTGTGCTGAAACCAGTGGTCGGACACTTAACAGACTGAGCCACCCAGGTGCCCCAGAGAGTATACTGATATCTTAACAGCTTACCTGGATCATAAATTAATCAAAATGCACTTTTAAATAAAACCTGATACTCAAAATATATAAAAAATACAAGACAATTCACAGAATAAATGGGAAAAAGTATTTTTCTTTTCTTTTCTTTTTTTTTTTTTCTTGATAAAGAGAGAGAGCATGTGTGTAAACAGGGGAGAGGAACAGAGGGAGAGAGAGAATCCCAAGCAGGCTCTATGTTCCCCGCTGAGCCCAACATGGAGCTTGATCCCACAACCTGGCCTAAAATCAAGAGTTGGACATTCAACTGACTGAGCCACCCAGGTGTCCCCAGATTTTTAAAATCATATATTTCATAAGGGACTTGTATCTAGAATATACAAAAAAAATTCTACAATTGAATAAAAGACAACCACCCATTTAAAAATGGGCAAAGGGTTTAAACAGATATATCTCCAAGGAAAATATAAAAATGGAGGCACCTGGGTGTCTCAGTTGGTTAAGCATCTGACTTCAGCTCAGGTCATGATCTCACAGTTCATGGGTTCAGGCCCTGCATCAGAGCCTAGAGCCTGCTTTGGGTTCTGTGTCTCCCTCTCTCTGTGTCCCTCCCTTGCTCATCCTGAGTCTCTCTCTGTCTATTAAAAATGAATAAAAGTTTTGGGGTGCTTGTGTGGCTCAGTCGGTTGAGCGTCTGATTTCGGCTCAGGTCATGATCTCACAGTTGGTGGGTTCGGGCCCCACTTCGGGCTCTGTGCTGACAGCCAACTCAGAGCCTAGAGCCTATTTCAGATTCTCTGTCTCCTCCTCTCTCTGTTCATGCTTTCTCTCTCTCAGAAACAAAAAATAAATAAATAAATAAAAAGCATTAAGAACTTTTAAAAAATGAATAAAAGTTAAAAAAATTTTTTTTAGGGTTACCTGGTGGCTCAGTTGGTTAAGCATCTGGCTTTGACTCAGGTCATGATCTTGATGTTTGTGGATTCAAGTCCTGCATCAGGCTCAGCCTGGAGCCTGTTTTGGATTCTATGTCTCCCTCTGTCTTTCTCTGTCCCTCCCCAACTCATGCTCTGTCTCTGACTCTCTCAAAAATAAATAAATATTTTTTAAAAAAATTTTAAAGAAAATATAAAAATGGCTAATAAGCACATTAAAAGATGCTCAACATCATTAGTCATTAGGTAAATACAAATCAAAATCACAATGAGATACCACTCCATCACACTGAGATGGCTATACTAAAAAAAAACCAAACCAGACAATAATAAGTGTTGACAAAGATGTGGACAAATTGGAACTCCCATGTATTGCTGGTAGAAATGTAAAACAATGCAGTCACTTTGAAAAATAGTCTGGCAGTTCCTCAAAAAGTTAAACACAGAATTTTTACTCCAATGCATATACTCAAGAGAAGTGAAACGTATGTCTACATAAAAACTTGCACATGAATAACCATAGTGACATTATTCATAAGAGCCATAAAGTGAAGCAATGCAAATGTACAACAAGTGATGACTGGATAAACAAAATATGATACATCCATACAATAGATATTACTTATCAATAAAAAGAATGACTGAGGGGTGCCTAGGTGGCTCAGTTGGTTAAGCTTCTGACTCTTGATTTCAGCTCAGGTCATGATCTCATGGTTCATGAGTTTGAGCCCTGGGTCAGGCTCTGCACTGAAGGCGCGGAGCCTACTTGCCATTCTCTCTCTCTCTCCCTCTCTCTTTGCACCTTCCACATCTCCCTTGCTCTCAAAATAATTAAATAAACTTGAAAAGAATGAGTGATACATGTTACAACACAGAAGAACCACGAAAACCTGCTGAGTGAAAGAAGCCAGTCACACAGGCCACATGTAATATGATTTCATTTATATGAAATGTCGGGGATAGATAAATCCATAGTGACAGAAAGTAGGTTAGTAGTTGCCATTGTCTGGGAGGAGCAGGAAATGGGGGAGTGACCGCTGTCAGCTAAGGGCTAACTTTCTGGAATGAAGAAGATGTTCTAAAATTAGATAGTGGCGATGGTTGCAAAATTCTGTGAATATTCTAAGGAGCCACCGAGCTGTATGCTTTAAAGAGCAAATGTTATGATATGTGGATTATATCCCAACAATCTATTGAAAAAAATACAAGCTAGTAACAAAGAAAAAAACTGTAAGCTAATGATAAAATTAGAGGTACATAACAATATACTTTTTTCAAATTTAAAGCAATCAACCAACATTACCCAACACTAACTTTGTTTCCAGCACCGTATTATAGGGCACTGGTTCCCCCGATTTTTGGTTTCACAACGGGTGCTAATAAAAATTATTTAAAACTTGTATCTGGGGGGGAAGCAAAAAAATAGTAGATAGTGTGTTCTTTCAGTGCCATCTCAGGTACAGGGCCACCTGAGAAAAAATGCAACTAAAGACTGTATTGTGTTCAACTCACTATTACTCAAAGTCCCAGACATTGTAAAATTACAACTTGTAGTTTTTTGTCCGTTAGAGGTGCAAATAATTCTATCAAAAAAAAAAAGTAAGTCCAAATATGTTTATTTGGTTTATTTTGTATGACATTAACCAGCTTTATATCAATACCAGCAATCTTTTCCTAATGTTCCTTTATTAAATTGTGCAGTCTAGCTCCTCAAATGCTCTTTGAACCAGACTTATCACCTAACTAGTTCCCTCATAATTAATAAATAGAATTATTTGATACATGTTTATTTTGTTTTAATTTTAATGTTTATTTTTGAGAGAGAGACAGAGACAGAGACAGAGTATGAGTGGGGCAGGGGCAGAGAGAGAGGGAGACACAGAATCCAAAGCAGGCTCTAGGCTCTGAGCTGTCAGCACAGAGCCCAACACAGGGCTCAGACTCACACACTGTGATATCAAGACCTGAGCTGAAGTTGGACGCTTACCTGACTGAGCCACCAAAGTGCCCTGACACATGTTTAGTTTTATATTTGTATGACAGTCATGTTTCCATTTTTTTGCAAATAATAATTAGGTATTTTTTTTAATTGGAAGATCATAGATTATCCAACTTTTCATTTTTTTAATGTTTATTTTTGAGAGAGAGAGAAAGAGGGAGAGCAGGGAAAGAGCAGAGAGTGGGGGAGACAGGGGATCTGAAGAGGATTCCACACTGTCAGCTGAGAGCGCAATGCAGTGTTCAAACTCACTAACCACGAGATCATGACTGGAGCTGAAGTCTGATGCTTAACCACTAAGCCACCCAGGTGCCCAGATTATCCAACTTTTCATTTTGGTTAGTAAGGTGTTGGGAGCCGTTTTCTGAACTCATAGGTTGAGTAAGAACTCCTTATGAGGTTAAGGTAAGTTGCACGGACTCTTACCATCAGATGGTGACTGATATCCACCCCCACCCAATTGTTTCTGCTTGAGTACCGACCTCCAAGTCACCTTGTTAACTGGTATTAGGAGTGACTCATTCTGGCCTGGATATGCTGATTGCACTTGTGAAGGAACTTACTAAAGGAACTTCTTCTTTTGTGGTTATGGGAGCAACATTGTGTTCCTGAAAGACCTGTTTTTCTTAATACCTCCCATTAAGCGATTTGTTGACCCCTGCTCACAAAGAACTAACTTTTGCCTTTACTATGCTAATGCAACCTCTGGGGCTGTTCCCCATCTTTTGTATATCATGTTCTGGAAAGTTTTTACTGAAAAAAGGATTTATCCTCAGAATGCCACTTCTGTGCTGTCCCCTAAACACAAAATCATAAAATAAAGTTGAATCTCAGACAGTGTGGAGAGGCCTGGCTGGTGACCAGAAAGAATCTTGCCCCTCTCTCGTCCCTCCCTCGCCAACACCGTCCATCCTTCAGGGACCCCTGGACCCTGCTGGAGCGGGACTCTGGCAGTAAGGACTTTGTTTTTGACTTTTCATTGTTATCACCAACATGTGTTACCATCATATTCTCCAGCATTCATCAGAACTTAATATAACGTAACAAGTGCTCAATAAGTATTTGTTAAATAAATCAATTTTTAACACCTACAAAATAGAAAGGACATACTCTCAAAGTGACTAAGCTTTATTAAAAATTCATTATCGAGCACCTGGGTGGCTCAGTCAGTTAGGTGTCCACTCTCGGCTCAGGTCATGATCTCACAGCTCTCGAGTCAGGTCTCGTGTTGGGTTCGGCACAGAGCCCAGAGGCTGCTTTGGATTCTGCGTTTCCCTCTCTCTCTGCCCCACCCCTGCTAGCACTCTGTCTGTCTCTTTCTTAAAAATAGAAAAACATTAAAAGAAATTAAAAAAATAATAAATCATCATCGTGCTTGCTTTGGCAGCACATATACTAAAAGTGGAACAATACAGAGAAGATTAGCACAGCCCCGGTGCAAGGATGAAATGCAAATTTGTGAAGTGTTCCATATTTTTTAAGTTATTTATTTATTTATTTATTTAGTCAATCTCTATGTGGCTTGAACTCATGACCTCGAGATCACGAATTCTGTGTTCTTCCCACTGAGCCAGTCAGGCACCCTTGAAGCATGTCATATCAAAAGAAAATAATAATAATTCTTTATCCTCTCACAGAAATGAGAGGATGGAAGAAGTTGAGTGCAGAATAGGAAGCCTGCATGGAGAGTACCTTGGTAGGAGGCAGGAGAGGAAACAAACTCCATACTCAACAAGTCTTAATGACCTAGTACATGTCAAACTCAGTTATAGTGATGGAGATGCAGCAGTGAACAACACCACCAAATCATTATATGGTCCTTATTCTGCGATTTTGCCATTTATTAGTAAAAACATAATCATCAACTGTCAGAGTCCTTTGCTGTTGAGTTTATTCTATTAAAGTTTATTTATTTATTTTGAGAGAGAGAGAGAAAGAGAGAGCGTGAGCAGGGGAGGGGCAGAGAGAAGGAGAGAGAGAGTCCCAAGCAGGCTTCATACTGTCAACATAGAGCTCCACAGAGGGCTTGATCTCACCAACCGTGACATCATGACCTGAGCCGAGATGAAGAGTTGGATACTTAACCCACTGAGCCACCCAGGCACCCCTATTTTAAAAGGGAAAAAGTATTAACTGTATGTAACAGTAGGAGTAGGGTCCTAAAAACTCTCATGATAAAAGAATATAGGGAAGATGGGATTAGGAAGAATTAATGAAAAGTAAATATATGAAAGTAAATTCCTTATTGACTTTTCTATATTCATTTACAAATACTTAGCATCTACACTGTTTAGTATCTGCATCATTGTTAGTGATTAGGATATATCAATAAATTAAACAAATATCCTTTGTACAAACTTCCAGTTATAAAGTAAATATGCTCTGAGGGATACAGCATACAGCATGGTGACTCTAGTACCATATTGTATATTTGAAAGTTGCTAGGAGTAGATTTTAAAACTTCTTACCACAAGAAAAAGATCTTGTCATTATGTCTGGCGATGGATGTTAACTGGACTTATTGTGGTGATCATTTTGTGATACATACAAATGTCAAATCATTATGTTGTACTCCTGAACCTAACACAATGTTTTATGTTACTTATATCTCAATAAAAATTTAATTATCTGGTATGTTAAAGGGTAATAAATGCTACAGAAAATAGGAAAATTATAGCAGGAAAAGAATCAAGTAAGATGCCCAGGGCAGGTTTCTCGGATATGGTGACAATTTGATCAAAGATCTTAGGAGCGGAGAATGGAGGACGTGGGACGAGAGCATAGATAAGGGAAGAGCACCGCAGGCAGGAGGAACAGCAGCAGCACAGGCCCTCAGGCAGGGGGGCATGAGAACTGAGAACGGGGGTCAGCATGGCTAGAGCATGGTCTGTGAGGGGCAAGAGAAGGTGGAGGCAAGGTCCGAGAAATAAAGAAATGTTCAAGTGAAGTGAGAGGGATAAAGAGGAGCCAGATTATGTACTGCCATGTAAACTTCTTATCTGAGTAACACATGAAGGCTTTGCAGAACTTTGAGGAGAGGAGTAACATGATCTTATTTAATTTACACTATAGCTATATTTTTAACAGATGATGGGATGGAGGTAGGGGCAAAGGTAGAAGCAGGGAGACCCATTAGGACCTTTTTCTTGTAGAAATGCATGTAAAAGATGATGTAACGTGGACCAGGGAGGTGGCAATGGGAGAAAGAATTTTTGAGTTTGCCAAGTATTTAGACATCCAAGGGAAGATTAAAAGTAGGTAGTTGTATAAATGACCCTTGGGACTGGTTAGAGAAGTCTGGGCTAGAGTAAATATTTGGGAGTTGCAAGCATATAATCATATATAAAATCATCTATATTTTTGATGAGATTGATGATATCATCAAGAGAGTTAGGGTAGATAGAGAAAAGGACCAATGACTGATCCCTAAAAACTTCCAACATTAAGGGGCGCCTGGGTGGCTCAGTCGGTTAAGCATCCGACTTCGGCTCAGGTCATGATCTCATGATTCGTGGGTTCAAGCCCCGCGTCGGGCTCTGTGCTGACTGCCAGCTCAGAGCCTGGAGCCTGTTTCAGAGTCTGTCACTCCCTCTCTCTCTGACCCTCCCCTGCTCACGCTGTCTCTCTCTCTCTNGTCTGTCACTCCCTCTCTCTCTGACCCTCCCCTGCTCACGCTGTCTCTCTCTCTCTCTCCTAGAAATAAATAAAACATTAAAAAAAAAAAAAAAACTTCCAACATTAAGAGGCTGGGAAGCACCTGGGTGGCTCAGTTGGTTGGGCATCTGACTTCAGCTCAGGTCATGATCTCATGGTCTGTGGGTTCAAGCCCCCCATCGGGCCCTGTGCTGACAGCTTGGAAATTGGAGTCTGCTTCAGATTCTGTGTCTCCCTCTCTCTCTGCCCATTCCCAACTTATGCTCTGTATCTCTCTCTCTCAAAAATAAATAAGCATAAAATTAAAAAATTAATTAAATTAAATTCAGTAGACAGAGGAAAAGAATGGGGGGGCACTTGGCTGGCTCGATCGGTGGGGCATGCAACTTTTATCTCAAGGTCATGAGCTCCATGCTGCACACAGAAATTACTTCATAAAAAAATAGAAATAAAAAAGGAACAGAATGATGACTACATAAAAATAAAAAAGCCTTCCTTTTCCATTTATTTTAGGAATAATAAATCTAAACTCAAATTAAAACATAAAGTCTTCTGCAAGGCAAGAGCCATGATAAATAAAGTAAAAAAAAAATAACAAATATTTTCAAAATACATCATACATAAAAAAGCCTAATATCTTTAATATATATGGATTATATATATATACTTATAATACCCTAGTAAATTAATGTGTCTTAGAAATATTAATATCATCAATATTAATATAAATAATATCTATATATTATGTCCTAGAAATCAGTAAGAAAAGATCAATAATTCAATATACACATAGACAATGATAAAATAAAAAACATTCTTAAATATATAAAAAATATGCTTCTCCCTCTCTCTCTCTGTACCTCCCTGCTCACTCTCTCTCTCTCAAAAAAAAAATAAACACTAAAAAAAAGTTTTTTTTAAAAAGGGGGCACCTGGGTGGCTCAGTCTGTTAAGCATCGACTTCAGCTCAGGTTATAATCTCACAGCTTGTGGGTTCAAGCCCCGGGTCAGGCTCTGTGCTGACAGCTTGGAGCCTGGAGACTGCTTTGGATTCTGTGTCTCCCTCTCTCTGTCTGCCCCTCCCCTGCTCACACTCTATCTGTCTCTCTCAAAAAATAAATAAACAGTAAAAAAAATTTTTTTAAATATATGCTTAACATTTTACCTAATAAGAGAAATGAAAATTCTCTTAGATCAGCAAAAACTCAAGTTCAATGATAATGTCTTATTGAGGCTGGTGAGAGTTGAAGTTGGTATAGCCCCTGTGTAAGGTAATTTGAGTATAGATTTTAACCAGGTGTTTGCTCTTCTGGAATCTGCCTTGTAGTCAAGCCTACAAGTCAAGTCATGCACACACATGAGATCTTACACCGGTATATAACACTATATAGGTGTAACAAAAGAAAAAAAAGAAAGAAAAGTTTATATATGATGAGAAAAGGTCTTCAAGATGAAGTAGTCAAACAAAGATGGAAAATAATACATATAGGACACTATATTTTATGTAAAAAGATGAAAGAATAAGAATATGTATTTACATGATTGTGTATGTAACAAAACTCGAAGTATATACATGAAAGTAGTAACATTGATAACCTGAGTTATACAGGTAAAAACATGGGAAAGAATATGGGAAAGACAAATCAGATATGTCTCTTTCAGTTTTTTAAGCCACAAAATTATATTATATATTGAAAACAATTTTTAAAAGTTTCTTTAAAAAAATTTCAGGCGGGGGCACCTGAGTGGCTCAGTCGGTTAAGCATCTGACTTCGGCTCAGGTCATGATCTCATAGTTCGTGGGTTCAAGCCCCACGTCGGGTTCTGTGCTGACAGCTAGCTCAGAGCCTGGAGCCTGTTTTAGATTCTGTATCTCCCTCACTCTCTGACCCTCCCCTGCTCACACTCTCTCTCTCTCTCTCTCTCTCTCAGAAATAAATAAAACATTAAAAAAAATTTTTTTTTAATTTCAGGCAGTTCATGGAATCTCTGAGAGTGCTAGACACAGACACGAACAATGCTTAAAATCCCATCCAAGTTTCCACTGCGTTGACAATGGAAACAGCACTACCCCTGGAATCTGGCCACTACTGCCTAGGGAAGCTGGAGGCCTTACTAACTGTCACAAAATCTGTGAGTATCGTCTCATTAAAAATGACTTGAGGGGTGCTTGGGTGGCTCAGTCAGTTAAGCATCCACCTCTTGATTTTGGCTTAGGTCATGATCTCACAATTTGTGAGTTCGGGTCCCACCTTGGGTTCTTTGTTGGGTGTGTAGAGCCTGCTTGGGATTCTTTCTCTCTCCCTCTCTCTTTGCTTGTCCCTTGCCTCCCCTTGTCCTTCAAAATAAATAAATAAACATTAAAAAACAACAACAACTTGAAGCTTGGGAAGCTAAATATGTTGCCTAAGATATGCTACTACCAAGCATGAAATTGTGAGACAAATCTAGGCAGTGTGACTTTAAAGCTCTCCCAACTAACTGCTACACTGTGTTGTTGCCCTTACATAGGCTGACTGGTCCACTCAAGTAAATTTTTACCCTCTTTATGTCATTGTAGCTAGTCATTCTAGTCTCTTCTATTTGCCATGCATAGTTCTATGAAAGGATTGGTTTCAAAGACTTTATCAGGAAAGCATGAAGCATGGATTTAGTAATAGATCAAATTTTCCAGATTCAGCTTTGGTTTTGCTTCCAAATCTTTCTCTTTCTCTTCATTAGCACTGGATGATGTAAACAGCTCCTGTCAGGACTTTCTACAAAGTCATTAAATGTGTTCATACCTTAAAAACTTTAATCTGCTCCATTACTGTGGAGCACATAG